TTAAAGGGTTGTTTGAGTGAGCGCCGGGTCGCCGCTCGGTCCAAAGGAACGTCCGACACCCGGTTGGGCATGGAGACTGTGGCCCGCTTAGACTCCTCCATTTTGTCCAGGCCGAAGAGAAGGTCCAGTTGGGTGACCGGCCGCAACCGTTCTTCTTCGACAGGTCTGGAACTGAGAGCAAACGTGAAGAAGAGAAAAGAGCAGTTTGACCACCGTGTCACACGGACCAATCAGAGCTGGGGATTGAAACCAACGAACATACGTGTTTTTCTCCCCGTCCCAGTCCAGGAGCTGCTCAGTGACCTGCCTCAGCTGCTCCTCGCGGACATAGTCCCTGACTCGGTACAGGGCGGCGTCGCGGCACAGCTCCCTCAGGTCACTGCCAGAGTAACCTTCGGTCTTCTCAGCGATTTCCGTCAGATTAACACTGCGGCTCAGCTGAGAAAAACAGACATGACGGACGGTTGGGGTGAACGTGAAACGTGAAGGAGAAGAACCGGACGAGGATGGAAAATCTCCTCTTACGTTTTCTCCTGCCAAGATCAGCGTCATGATGTCCCGTCGTTGTTGGGCGTTCTGTAGAGATGGGAAGAAAAATACGAAGTTTGTTATATACGAATAATACGAATACTTTGTTTATTTTTCAAGCTTGGTGCAGAGTGACTCTCTGGCTCCCTCTGCCGGTGCTCAGGTCTTACTGGAAGGCCAACGTGAAACGCAGCAGGCATCCTCCGCAGTATGGCTGCATCTACGTCCTGCGGCCTGTTGGTGGCGCCCATTACCATCACCTGCAGCACAGACACACGTCATAACATGTCGTCATAACATGTCATCATAATTCCGTAACTCGATCCTCGTGTCTGTGGAGATGTGGCTAAAAAAAAAAAAAACAGGACCAAAAATAAAAAAAAAGATCTAAAAGTCACGGAGGTCAAACTCATGTTGGTCAGGTGTCAATCAGTCAGATTAATGCTGCGGCTCAGCTGAGAAAATAGTTTGTTTATTTTTCAAGCTTGGTGCAGAGTGACTCTCTGGCTCCCTCTACCGGTGCTCAGGTCTTACTGGAAGACCAACGTGAAACGCAGCAGGCATCCTCCGCAGTATGGCTGCATCCACGTCCTGCGACCTGTTGGTGGCGCCCATTACCATCACCTGCAGCACAGACACACATCATAACATGACGTCATCATAATTCCGTAACTCGATCCTCGTGTCTGTGGAGATGTGGTTAAAAAAAAAAAACAAGACCAAAAATAAAAAAAAGATCTAAAGGTCACAGAGGTCAAGCTCATGTTGGTCAGGTGTCAATCGTCTGTGGTGACAAAGCGTCGTTAGCAAACAGCTTGCCTATGTGTTTGGTAGCGGACGTGTCCAGTCCGTCCCACAGACTCATGAACTGGGCCTTCATCATGGCCGTAGCCTCGTGGTCCGAATAAAAAAAAAAAAAACGATAACTTACCGATCCTTACAGATACTATGTAATCATGCTAATATCGGGCCGATAATATCGGACATCTTTAATCACTTTTTCTAAGTACTGAATCCTGACAGCGCCTCACCGATTTCATCGATGAAGATGATGCAGGGGTGGATTTTGGCAGCCAACGAGAAGACGGCGGCCGTGAGTTTCTGCGACTCTCCATACCACATGTCCGTCAGCGTGGACGCCTGCAGGTTGATGAACTTGCACCCCGAGGCCTTGGCCGTTGCTTTGGCGATCATGGTCTTCCCACATCCCGGAGGTCCGTACAACAAAACACCCTGGAAGAGCTTTGATCCGGCTTCTCTTCTGGAAGGGGAGGATGACGGTGTCCTGCAGCTCGTTGACGACTTCGTCCAGACCGGCGATGTCCTCCCAGGAGACCTGCGACGAGACGCACAAATCTGTTTGTAGTCCGGAGACACTGAGGTTACCGGGAACATCGCAGGGTCCCGCGCCGACCTTCATACTCCGTGGCTCCACCAGGTGGGACGCGATGTTCATCTCGTACTCCGTGAGGGTGACGTCCTCCACGCCGATGCTCTTCATCAGCTGCTCCGCCTGGAAGAACAAAACCACCAACTCATCTTAACTCACTCCCGGACCTCTGAACTCCCCCGTCCATACCGGACCACGTTGGAGGTCGGCCACCGGAACCCACCCTTTTCTTGGCCTGGTTCTTCTGTTTCGACGTCGGATCCATGGCCTCCATGACCCACTTGATGCTGTAGTACGTGGCTGCTCCAAACACTGTCAACCGCAGCAGCAGGCCCACCACCTCGTTTCTGGACAGCGGCTGCAGCAGGGCCTCTCTGGGGAGATCTTTGAAAGGCATCTCAGCTGATCGGCATCAGACTGTCGGCAGAACACGGAACCAAGAACGCAATGTTGGAGACAGGAACTGAACGACACTTTAAAGCTAATTAATAATAATGATAATAATCAGAACTTTATTGATCCCTGCTGCAACAGGCTGCCCCCTGCTGGCACCACGTATGAACCTCTTAAGGGAACCGAACCCTGGACTAACTACGCTCTGTTTCCGAGGCAGGCGTGCTAACCGCTACACTATGGAAGCACTATAGCCCATTAACTACTTAATATCAACAATAACGTAATATCGTAATAACATTTATTAATCTTTATTACCTTTTATTATTTGTCTCAATGATACGAACCGGAACTGAACGTTTCGATTTTTTTTCATTTCATGTATTTCATATTTTGTGGATAATTTATTACTGTTTTAAAATTAAACATTAAAAATATCTATAATTCCCAGAATTCCTTTCATCACGGATGTCATTAAACCTAGAACTACGTCAATCAAACAGTAGTTCGTTATTCGGCTCCATGCTAGCTCCTTTAGCCTCCTGAGCTGTCAATCACCTGTCCACGACACCAAGACGTTTTATTTTATTTTTATTTTTTAGTGTTTGTTGTTGTTTTTTTAAAGTTTTAAGTGTTTCCTGTTTACAAACATGACCAACACGACCCTCCGTCTGTCGATGTGCTTTTTAACAGCCAGGAAAAACCTCAGCCGTGGGTAAAAAAAAAAAAAGCTAACGTCGCAGACGAAAACGTTTTAAATTTACATTTATACATGTGCGCTTAAATAAATCTGAAGAAAACACGCACATTATAAAACGGCCTTAAAACGTAAAATGAGATTAAAAATATATTCCTACCTCCAAACTCCACGGTTCACACGGAAAAACGTCAAATACTGCATTAGCCCACGGGGGTGCACCCGGGATTTGGACTCCGGGTAGGAACAAACATCCGTTCCGTATTTTCGCCGACATCAGCACGACGGAGAGCGACTGTAGCGTAGAAGACACTACG